TATCTTGTTTATAAATCAAAACTCTCTCTCATAGGGACAATAAAATACATCAAGAAAATAGAAAAAAAAAACTTGATCAGCACGGAGATAATGCCCGCGAGAAAGCCAAATGAGCAAGCAATGTGTCTGGGCCATGTCTTCTGGGGGAGCTAAGCAGCGCCTGCGAAAAAGGGTTAGTAACAATTTTTACATTGCTCTCCCTTTTTATTGTACCTATATTTATGCATATATATGACATGACACCCTACAGAAGACTGTCCTATATATACTACCATGCATATCAAACTAATAAACATGCAAGCACACTAAAGGCACAAAAGGTGAGGCCTGATTGGGGCAACCAAGCTAGCAGAGAACTATAGCATGAACATCGAAATGGAATGTCTAACATCCTAGTCTTTAGCCTAACACATCATCTAATGTAATGTTCTAACCAGCATCTAAGTGAGTGTGTGGTCATGTCAACAAGATGACATATGTTTTCACAGGGTCGTCGTCGCCAGACCCATCCTAAAGATCCAAGGATTCTAAAAGATGTCACTATATGCAGGTTTTGCAAAAGCTTTTGAAATATTTAACCTCATGTACAATCTAAGTTAAGCATGCAAGTAGTTTAGAAATATATTTTAAAAATATGATGTGTATAAGTAATAAAAATATAGATTTTATACTTTTAGAATAGTTCCTAAGAAATAGAAGGTCTAAGTAGCACCTATTAGACCCTTTGGAACCTTAGGATAACATACACGTGCTAATTACGGTGTGGTAGCTAGTAATGCCCCATTGAGGCATCCTCGTGGGCAATACTGCTACCTCATCATGACCAACGATGAGTCACTTAGCTAATGAGTCAGATTCATAGTTGAGATAATCAAAGAATGTACATGCAAATGCAACATGATTCTATGTGATATGATCGTCCTTGCAGAGTAGGAACGACCGAAAGATGGTAAACATTCGCCACTAGCATATAGTTCGTACACTAGTGACGAATGCGCCGATAGTGCAAAATGATGCACACAAAACATACAATACAAATGAGATGAGTGTGCCACTAATACAATGACCTGATAGTGGGTGTGTCGTGGAGGTGGTGACCCGGAGGGTGGAAGTGCCTTTGGAGGCAGTGACTCGAAGGGAGGGTGTATCGGGGAGGCAGTGACCCAGAGGGTGGGTGTGTGGTGGAGGCAGTGACCCGGAGGGGCACCCACGACAACCCAGAGCAATGTCGTAGAGAGTGAGAGGATGTAACTCAAGTTGGAGGGAATTACACAACGTATTGAGTCGATGGCGGGTCATCCATTCGCATGACACATGAGTGCAAGGAATAATTGTATGAGAACACTAATCCAAATGCAAAGACTTCAAGCATGCAAGTTATGTATATACAAGATGTTATGCAAGTAAACACACAAGAGTGGAAAGTGCAAGTACAAACCACTTGTAACGTGGTGCTAAGTGACATAAGGATGCCACAAAGTGGATATATCGAGTAATGTGCTGCTGGAAGGCATGAATACTCATCATGAGCATATGAAGGGATATGTTAATGGGTGTACGATAATCTGCTAGTGTGGGTGAGCTAATGTAGGCAATGTAATGAAACATGCAATGAATACAACATACCAAATGCAAAAGATCGATTGATCAATCGAGCTGGTGGTGGTGTCGTTCAACCATGTCGACAGACAGTGGTCGATAAATTGATTGAATGGACCGAAGAATTTCAATCGGGTCAGAGTGTGCTCAATCGATGAAGGGTGATCGATCGATACTATTAAGCGGGTGATGATTGTTCGATCGAGTAAAATGATGATAATTGATTAAATCGAAGAGTGTGACCGATCGACGATGGGTGGCTGATTGATGTGTTCGAGATGGCAATGGCCAATCGATCAAGTAGATCGATGAAAATCAATTGAATTGGAGGGTGGCGGCCGATCGACGACACATGAAAAAATGGATGTTTTGATGCAGTTTTGAAAATAATCCATGTCATGCATATAATAAAAATGTGAAAGACATGCAATATGAGATTTGATTAGATTCAACAACAAATCGTGCTTGCCCTAGCGAACTCATGGGTAAACCCTAAGGGTAATAAATGAAACAAGGCAAGCGTAGCATAAAGCGACGAGCGTCCGCCTCCATTTGCCCGGTATGAAAGGAATCTGTGGGGAAAGCCTTTGCAACGTAGTGAATGTCAAATTCGGGTTTTCTGTTCTTTAAGTCAGAATGGTGGATTTCACAAATGCTGGATTACAATGATCTTGAGATTCAAATTTTGTGTTAGAAACGAGAAAAGGTAGGTTTTTCTCTTGGATTTGTGGAGGAAATGCAAAGGCTCCTAATTCTTATGGGCTTTCCTATAGAAATAAAACATCATAACCTAATTTCTCTAACATCTAGACCTAAAGGCCCTATTAATGAAAATCATAAGGGATTGAGAAATTTCAAAAATTTTACCTTCGTGACGGTTGATCGAAGCATTTCTTCTTTTTGTAAGAAGCTCTCCTCACCAAAGAGAATGACGACACCGCCAGAACGTTGCCTGAGATGAGGAAGATGACCAGATTCCTTCCCTCAAGTGGTGATAAAGTTCTCATCACCAGAGAGAATGAGAAATTTGTTGGAGCTTACCTTCCCCAAAAAAATGAAGAAGCATTCCTCACTGAAATGTTGCCGGAGACGGGGAAGACGATTAGAAAAATGGAAGAAAATGTGAAGACAATGGAGTCGAACAACTTGCCTTGGCTTCTCCTTAAGAAAGACGATGAAACATTCAAGAAATCTCCCTGGAAGCTCCTTGAAACCTCCCCTTTCTCCAAGCTCTCCTCCTTAGAAAATTGTAGTCGATTAGCTCAAATGAGCTCTTTCCCATGGGTTATCACCTATAGGGGTTTGTTTATCCAAGGGAGCAAGTCCGCTTTCTCAATTTAGAATGGCCTCAAAATATATTTTATGTCTTATTTGGGTGAAGAACTGGACAAAAGGGGAAGGACCAGTAGTCTTGGTTGCCTCTACAGGGGGAATTCAGGGATTGGTCCTGGTGGCGTGGCCACGTCACATCGGGTGTGGTCATGCCATCGTTCAAGGTGTTTCAGATCGGGGTCTAGCGTGGTCACGCTCAAGGCCCAGTGTAATTACATCGAGTGTTCTGTCTAGGAAGCGTGGTTATGCCACTTGCTGGTGTGGCCACGCTGGTCGACAAACTTGAGCACCTGCTGAGATTTGGGCATGGTCACACCTATATTGTGGCGTAATTACATTGTAGTCTCTATTTAGCCGACGTGGTCATGCCACCTTCGGGCATGTTCATGTTGACCACAACCCTTTTATGTTATTTGGGGTGATCTTGGTGTGGACACACCTGATTTAAGTGTGGTTACACTATTAACTAGGCGTGGCCACAACTGAATTAGGCATTGTCACGTCGGACCCCATAATGATTGGGCTTCCGGTGAATATCATCAAGAGGTTTCCAGGTCTCGTGGGACCTCTGAAGGATCGAATGTGAGCAGGCTATGATCCTCGGACCTCCATAGGGATCGTAAATGCATCTCAAAAGAGTTCTAGAGGCCGAACCATCCACGTATTGTCGAGCAAAGCGGTTCCAACATGAAATCCATCTATCCTGACCATAAGCTTAAGGCACGAGCACGTCTGGCGCAACCGTCAACATTCTATCTCACGGGAGCACCTATAACAGTCATACACAACCTCATGCCACAGAAACGAACGTCAGCGCAGAGGATGCCAGAACGTTGTCGGTTTGACAATGCTCAACTCGGAGCCCATTCGTCGAGCAAAGCAGTTCCAACATAAAATCCATCTATCCTGACCATAAGCTTAAGGCAGGAGCACGTCTGGCGCAACCGTCAACAATATATCTCACGGGAGCACCTATAACAGTCATATACAACCTCGTGCCACAGAAACGAACGTCAGCGCAGAGGATGTCAAAATGTTGTCGGTTTGACAATGCTCAACTCGGAGCCCATTTGTGATGTTGAAAACCCCAACCATAGTGTCGTGCCATTCGGGAAGAATGTACTGTATATGTCACATCAAAAATGGATGCCAATACACACAAAACACAACTTTGCTAAACACGTCAGCAGTGCGGTCCACTACAGCGTCTCCTTTCATCTGTTTTCAACCCGCATTGAAAGTCTTGCTCGAGACTAATTGATTTTTTGTATAGTCTAAGAAAAAAAATGATCCACTTGCAAAGAATCAAGGGAATATCTTATTATACTCATTTTGTGTCCACTAAGATCCATATTGTGTTGAAATTGATGCTCAAACAAAATATTGACTATCCTAATAATTTTTATATAACATATGAGCCAACTACGAGGTAATCCTTATCAAGATATTTTTGATAATATATGACAAACTTGTCCTGAGAAAGAATAGAAAAACATATCTACATTTATTGACCAAAATTTAATTAATTACACAAAATTCTTAATCTTTTTGATGGGATACATCAATAATATCATTGAATTAATATACTTTTTTTAATGAAATATTATAAAATGGAATAGAAAGCTAAATCATATGATCATCGGAATCCCAACTCGCACTGTGAATTTAGCTCGAAAATTGATTCGAATTTTGGCTCGATTATGATAGACCATATGAGTTACAAGCTAAAATTTTGGATCAAAATTTCCTTGGAGCCGACCCCAACTCAGCTCGAAATCAAATTGTTAATAGCCCCAGTGTCGTTAGGGTCGTGAAATCATCAAAATTAGTTCGAAGATCATTAATCGCTCGACGATTAATTCAAATTTCTGCTCTGATTGGGATCGGATCGAAATCTTTTTAGCTGAGCCCAAACCGGCCTGACCCAATCACACACCTAATTGGATCGCAACTGGCCTTTGCCATGGCAAAGTTGTAATTAAATTGTTAGATAGTGGCATTTCGACAGTTTTTTAGAGAGAGAAAGAGGCGACAACACCAGTTGTTTTTCTCTTTCTATCTCTATAAAACAGAGCACCTGCACGAAATGTTCTCCATTCACGCCCATTTTTCTTCTACAAGATGAACAAAGGCTGCGATCTGTCCGATCTCCGGCCGCCGGAATCACCCCTGGACCCAATGGAACTCCTTTCTCGCTTATGGAGCTCCTCCGCTCTCCAACTCTCACGAAGGAATTTAGCGGAAGACTTCGCCGGAGCTTATGAAACGCCGGCGGCGGCGGCGTCTCCATGTCTGACCACCGTCTCCGGCAATCCCTTCTCCTGCGCATCTTCTTCTACATCGCAGCTCGTTCTCGATCGCTTGATGTCTGTATGTTCATCTTTTTAGCCAAAGAAACCAAAAAAAGGAATTTTTTCATAAAAAAATTGCATCTTCTTGTTATTGTTTTTGTTTTTGGTTCATATTCGTATGCGGATCAGTGTTATTGTAGTATTATTGTAGTGTTATTGGGATCATATCCACCTGAATATAGCGAAACCAGCTTTTTTTCTTTGAAATATGGAAGGGGCTAAGACAATAAATTACAAAATGATATTTCAGAAGGGACAAAAGATCAAATTGTCTGCCAACATAATTAAAAGAATTGAAATTAAGGAGAGACAATTGCTAATTGAACCATACTCGAGTCCTCCATATCAATCTAATATCACCAATCTGAGTCCAATCCGCACGGAACTCGTCCACACGTCATAATATTATCTTCAACTGATCTTGATCTAAGCAGAGCTTTCTTATTCAAAGATCTAATTTTTTTTAGTTGAAATTGATTTGTGCTCTATTTAACTCATATTTTAAAAAAATATAATAAATATCTTTTATTTTTTAAAAAAATTTCATGAAAAAATCTTAAAATATTATTAGTTTTTTTATATTTTTTAGGTTAAAATTTGTTTAATTTGTTGTGGGTTGCAGGATTTGACTCCTCGGAGCTCCGGCCGTCTATCTCACAGCAGCGGTCCTCTCATCGGCGGTTATCTTACCGACAGCCCCCCACTCTCTCCTTCCGATTTCAACGAACTAAAGGTCTTATTATGAATATATATATATATATA